TTCTCCCATACTGGTTGAAGTTAGCTGCACTGACGTTTTCATTCGAGGGAAAGAGGCAAACAGGCAAGCAGCTTCTGATGTAGCCTTTGTAAAACTGATAATGAACCTTAGGAACCGTTTGTCATGGGTGCACCCCATAATAAATGTTTAATTGTAAAAAAGATATAAAACACCAGTTTAAAAAATTCAATCCAAGAATTAAATAAAAAATGGATCCAAAACCATTATTACCCATTTCCCAATAAATATCAAACTGGGTTTCTGTGAAACTATTTTAATTACTTTGCACTACATTTAATCATTCCCTATACTTGCATCAATTTCCAAGACCACAGACGTGGGGGGAAATATGCCCCAAATTGTAACTAGGATTTTTAAATTTTTAGGAGACCTAGTGTTGAACAAGATCATTGACATTTATGGATTATATTTACAGAAGAACTCCAGGAAGATATTAAAACATCCCGAATACAGTCAATGCAGGTTTTCTTTTATTAAAAACATTTTTTCATGTATTCGGAGTTCTATGGGCATAGCATACACTTTAATTTTTTATTATCATTTATGTAATAACAATACAAACAATATACCGTATATATTTGAAAATCCAATAAAAGCTTACTTAAAAAACACCTTTCATGTTTCAAGTGCTGCCAGTCTGTTGGCCATCTCTTTCCACATCTACCTAGATTCCCTGCATGCTTTGCAGCTTCTCCTCTGCTGTTTACTTTCAATTTCTAAGGACTACATGTGCCAGACCGCCTGTCACCTCAATTGGGTAATTCAGTCAGAGAACTGCTTCCTTGTCACTGGGGCGCAGGACCAAGGTGTTATAGCTGGGCATCGCACCCAAGACTAGGCACTTCAGAATAAGGGGCAGTGCCTACATGAAATATGAAAATAATATTACACATTGGGATAAACATCCCACACTGGTTAGGTAAGAGCTTGATCATATAAACCTAAACAGTGATGTTGGTGCTAGGCAGAGGTTAGTGGTGCTCTTCCCTGATGCCAGCTTTTCTGCTGGGAAGAAAAATGCAAATTCGGTGGCCCCGCACAAATCCTCCAGGGTCACCGATTGTTGTAGGCAGAGGTCGACAGCACTCTGCCTTGATGCCTGCTCTTCTGCTGGAGGCTCATTGGGTTGTTCCTCCTTAGCAAAAAAAGTCTATTAAATCCCCAGTCTCTGGAATTGCTGAAAATCCAGGGCACAGACTTTTGGCACTTAGGCTTCAGCGAGTGACTCATGATCCATAACATCCATGGGTGCTAGAGCATACTGTTGCGCTTTGTCAAACAGTTGCTTATATGCTTGTTCCAGCACCCATTCTTGTGTTACTATAAAGTCCAATTCACTTCTCAATCTCACTGGGAAGTTCCAACTCCCTAAAATCTCAGATGTCCTCCCATCTCTACTACACTGCACTACAAATATATGGATCCTTCTGAAGTATCTCAAATATCAATCCCGGTCTGCCGTAGTCATAGCCTTCTACGAGATTGCTGTTTACTTTGCAGACACACTTGGGTAGCATACCATTGCAGCGCCCGATAATGGCATCACCACCATTTCTGTCTGGACCAGCCACCGTCAGCTGTCAAGCATTCCTCCTGAGGATGCTCTCCTAGGAATGGTATATGCAAGTCCAATGCAGCTAGTAATATCCATGGATGTAGAGAGAACCTTTCTATTATAGTCTTGCTCTACTTGGAGAGCCTCCATCCAAAGCTCCCAGGAGATCGCATCTCTCAATTCTAGCATGTCCTAGGCAGAATCAGGCTCCCTGTACTGGGCAAAATTCTCTTGCATTCAGCACTGGAACTGGTGACCGGCTCCTGGAACACTTCCTCGATATCACCCAACACTGGGTCCCGGTGGTGGTTTGGACGTCCCAGACTGGAAGCATCCCACTGCTGCCACCAAATGTGACAGACTGCCTGTCACCCCGATTGGGTAATTCCGTCAGAGAACTGCTTTCTCGCCGCTGGGACACAGGGCCAAGGTATTATAGCTGGGGATCACTAGGCTACACTAGCTTACGTGCAAAAACTGGAAATCTTTATTGAACAGAAATACAGGTTTTTATACACTTCAGAAATAGGGACAGTCCCCACATGAACAATAAAACAAATATGGCATATTAGTATAAACATCCTGCACTGATTAGGTAAGAACTGATCACATTATCCTAAACAGTGCAAACGGTAAACAGTACAGCCAACAGCTAACAGTGATCTAATTAACAGTAAACTAATGAACAGCCAAGTACCCAGACAAACCAGGGAGCTCACCCCAGACAGTCCGGTACATCCAACCCTGAATACACAAAGTACATTACACATGCTTTCTTTCAGGTCTTTGCTTTCACTTGTATAATCTGTCCTTCATAAGACAAAACTCATATAATATTCCAACAGTCTGAGAATGAGAGAATGAATTTGGCCTCATAGATTTCTTGAGGGAGATTGCTGATACATATTTCTGTCCCAAGGTGAGGAGCTTCACCAACCCAGTCTGCAAGAGGGCTCCTGTCTTGGTTGGGTCTGTCACGCTACATATCCCATGGTACCTTGCCACCTGCAAGCAGTGATTCCTGTGCTGACTCCGCCTTCAGAAACTCTTCCTCCCAGCCCAAGCCCCTCTGTAGTTCAGAAGACGGGCTCTGTGAAATGTGTTACACAGCAGTGCCTACCTTCAGGGCATAATGACTACATGTCACAGAATTCTAGGACGTAAATGTGTGGAATCTTCACAAAGTAAACTTACAAATTTTGAGATTGTTCAGAATAATAAGAGTAGACAAAAAATTATTGAAATATAATGTGGAAATGAAAATATGATTTAAAATTTTGACCATAGAGACATTTTAAATGCACCTAAAGTAAATCAGCCATTGGCAAACCCTTTTTTTTTAGCAGCGCTTAAAGTGATTGGAAAGTTATTTACATGTCACTTACCTGCTCCTGGCTCATCCTCCCTTCTGAGTGCCCCCATAGCAAGCCGCTTGCTATGGGGGCACCTTTGCAGGCTCAATCCTGACCCAGGCAGTGTGCGTCTATTGACACACATAGCATGGTTTGCCCCCTCCCCTGGTCATTCCTCAAAGGATTTGATTGACAGCAGCAGGAGCCAATGGCTCCCACTGCTACCTAAATATCCAGATGTCCAGTGAGAAGAGAGAAAAATAAGCATCGCTGCTCTCATACACATCACTGGACTGAGATGGGGCTCAGGTAAGTATAAGGAGGGGCTGTAGGGGAGCTGACCATGAAAGGCAGAGAATGCATTAAGGTAAAAAAAACATAGGCCTTTAGAATCACTTTAAACTGAGTTGGAGATAGATAACACATGGGGCCAAACAGGTGTGCCCCAGTGTACAAGTGCTGACAAGAATCATGGCTGGCTGGAGGATGGAGGTAAGTGAGCTGAGGGAAGAGCAAAACTAAATTAAAAACTTACCCAAAACCATGATAGTTATCCTTTAAAAAAGTCAATTTAAGTGGCTTTACACCAAATTGATAAGTGGCCAGCGTTTACATTTTCTTTTCACTATTTGTTATCTATATTTGTAGTAGTATTTAATAAAGTATTATTGTGGATATTGAAAAAACAAAGAACACCAACAAATGTTACTACCCTCCTCCTAAGTTCCATAGGCAAATGCCTATCTGCCTACCTTGTCAATTTTTTTTAAAGCAACTACGTAGTGAACAGAGGGCAGTACATTACCAGTACACTGGCCTCCAGGGTAAGTGATTTTTAGCCGATCCATGTCATTGAGAAATCCCGGATTACATGCACAGTTGTATCCAAAGTAGTTTGTACGGCTGGTTTCTTCACAAGTAGAATTCATTGGACAGTCAGATGACGTAGAGCATTGAGGAAAATTAATGGCTTCTTGAGGTAAGTACAAGACTCCTACAATACAGAAGAGAAGTAAGTAGTCATATCATTTACAGTATTAGCTGCATCAAAGGAATTGTCACAGTGAGAGTGGAGACCAGGGAGTGGGCTGGATTTATTAAAAGAATATCCATATTAAAAGAAGACCAGGTCTTAGACCATTACTTACCCCCAAACATTATATAATTTATAATTATATTTAAAATTGCGTACACTCTTGGAATGGCGCCAAACTACGTCACTATAGGCAATGCTTTAAAAGCCTTTACAGGTTACCAGTTTAGTGTTACAGAGGAGGTCTGGTGCTATAATTATTGCTCTCACTCTGATGTTCGCAGCAATACCTCACATGTATAGTACGATCGCTGTTTAAGCATGTGTGCAGGACCAAGGCGTGCGTTTGCCTTTGCATGCGAGCACAGGGGGATGGGAGCGTTTAAAAAATTTAACATTTTTTTACACTCTTTCTTTACATTTTTGTAATCATTTTTTATTGCTGCCACATGAAATGTTAACATCCCTTGTTGTAGCAATAGGCAGTGACAAGTACTTTTTATGGAGCGATCTGGGGTTCATTAGACCCCAGATGTCTCCTCTGCCCTTACAAGCATCTGATCACACCAAGATAAGTGTTAGCAGATGCTTTACCAATCTAAAAATGGTGCTGTTTACATTTGGGAAACCAGGAGTGATGAAAATGCTTGTGGCTTCTGGTTTCCTATACCATAGAGATCTTCAGGGACCTTCTGGTCCTTGATCTCCATGGTAAGCCGGGTTTGGGATTGCCATCGGGACAGTAGAGCCCAGAGAGGTACTGGTGGGCGGTGGGAGGTGTAAATGCTATCCAGCGACTAATTAGCCTCTGCGATGACTTTTACATAAAAGTCTGCCGCCAGCTAAACAAAACAGTACTGGAATGATGCCTGTAGCTGCAGGCATCTTTCCGGAGCAACCACTTAAGGTCAAATGATGTACATGTATATAATTTGGCATTAAGTAAATATAGAATGTTCTCTTAGCAACAGGGCCGGATCTAGGGAGGTGCTGGGGTGGGCTGTGCCCCCCCCAAGATTTTACTTGTGCCTCCCCAGATCTCTGAGAGTGCATCCACTGATCCATGAGCCAATCTGATGTAGACAGGTGATGTAAGGGGGCACTCTCATGGGAAAAGTCCATGTAAGGATTTACTTTGATTGGGACACCTGATGTAAAAGGGCACTCTGATGAGGACACCTGATATAAAAGGGCACTCTGATGGGGGCACCTGATGTAAGAGGACACTCTGATGGGGACACCTGATGTAAGGGGTGTTGACACTCTGATGGGGACACCTGATATAAGGGGACACTCTGATGGGGACTCCTGATATAAGAGGGCACTCTGATGGGGGCACCTGATGTAAGAGGACACTCTGATGGGGACACCTGATGTAAGGGGTGTTGACACTCTGATGGGGACACCTGATATAAGGGGTCACTCTGATGGGGACACCTGATGTAAGGGGTGTCGACACTCTGATGGGGACACCTGATATAAGGGGGCACTCTGATGGGACACCTGATGTAAGGGGACACTCATATATGGACACCCGATATAAGGGGGCACTCTGATGGGGACATGGATGTAAGGGGTGTTGACACTCTGATGTGGACACCTGATATAAGGGGGCAATCTGATGGGGACACCTGATGTAAGGGGACACTCTGATGGGGACACCTGATATAAGGGGTCACTCTGATGGGGACACCTGATGTAAGGGGACACTCAGATGGGGACACCTGATATAAGGGGGCAATCTGATGGGGACACCTGATGTAAGGGGACACTCAGATGGGGACACCTGATATAAGGGGTCACTCTGATGGGGACACCTGATGTAAGGGGACACTTTGATGGGGACACAGATGTAAGGGGGCACTCTGATGGAAACCTGATGTAAAGGAGGACTCTGAGGAGTAGTCCTGATGTAAAAAAGGACTCTGATGAGGACTTCTTATGTAAAGGGGGACTCTTATAGGACATCTGATATAACCTGTGGGTACAGGTTTTGTTTAATCACCCTATCTAATACATAATAGTGTTTTCCAGGCCATGACACTGTGTGACAGATTGTGCTGACATTATGCCCCCTGACTGTTTTTTACTGCACCCCCAGACCAGATAGGTTAGATCTGACCCTTTTTAGCAATGGGAAACTGTGTTACTTTCAATCAAGCAAAGCAACAGGGTCACTTAAATGCATGTCACCTTCCAGTTATTCACATCGATATGCAACCGTGCTGTTCCATTTAGATATATGCAAACCTTCTTTACCTAATCAGCACATCTACCCTGTGACACAAGAAAATGTTGGGTGATTCAGCTGTCTAGAATCCATCAAAAACTACAATATACGCAGGCAGTCTAATTCTTCAAAGCTGAGATCTCATCAGTTTGTAAAAACGCTCACATTGGTAGCTTCATTTTTAACAGGATCTTTTTATTGAGGTTTTACAATACAAAAGAGATAAAAGTCATAAAATAATAATATACAAATTTGTAAAATTATCCAACAAAATCGTGTGCTAAAGTTTTATCTTGGGCTTCCCATTTTTCCTATGGATGAATATTAAATATTGAAAAAAGTTATCTGTGCAATCTATTGCATGCATATTAATAAATTGGAAAAAGTTGAGGTAGTAAGGCGTTCTTTTCAAAATATTCTAATTATATATGAACTTTAAAGACGCTTTCACACTGCCTTACTGCAGTTTGGCCACAGAGCAGGTGCATTGCGATATACATACAGTAAGGGTTTCCCATAGAATTCCATTATGTCCTGCATTTTCGGTGCATTTTTTGAAAGCGCACCTTCATGCTGCATCTTTTCCCCCAGGCTCTTTTCAAACAGATTGCCCAGGGAGAGGGGTGGTAAAAACAGCCAATGCCTATTTCTGTTTTATTCAAATACTTTTTCTGGCAGAGCAGCACTAGGCCTGTGTCTAGACATCCCAGAAAATGGTTTAGAAGGATCTTGAACCATACCTCCAAACAAGCTCTACAAGGATTAGTTGGGTCAGATACATGCAGCAGTCAGTCCATGGCACAGAGGAGTCAGGGCTTCTTCATTACGTGACTGTCAGGAGTGCATAAAAATAAGCTATTTACTAAGATCTTTTTTTCCCCAGCACTATATAGCATAAGGAGGAGGAGAGGGAGGAAATCAGTAGTTTTAAGCATATTTACGTATATGTAGCTTCCACCTTATGGTTATTGTAGCCTTACATTAGACAGGGGAAGCTTTATGGATGTAAAGGTTACATATAAATATACTTAAAACCATTGCTTTCCCTCCCCTACTGCCTATGCTATATAGCTTTTAGTCTTCCTTACACCCCAAGCCCTAAAACAATGCTGTTGGGCACAGTGGCTAAATGGTTAGCACTTCCACCTGGCCAATACTTGGGTTGTTGGTTTGAATCCCAACCCCAGCACCACCTGCCTGGAGTTTGCATGCTCCCCCTGTGCCTGTGTGGGTTTCCTCCGGTTTCCTCCCACTCTCTAAAGACATGCTGGTAGGTGAGTTGGCTCCTGTCTAAATTGGCCCTCGTATGTGTATTTTTGAATGTGAGTTAGGGACCGTAGATTGTACACCCCCTGAGGGTCTGATGGGAATGTACAATATATATGTAAATTGACGCCGCTATATAAGTACCTGAAATAAAGAAATAATATTGGGGAGTTGATAAATATTTGGGTCACTTTGCCATAGGGTACTTTCCCCCCCGGGCTCTGCCTGGGGAGAGTATCTGTATAAAGCAGTGGTCTCCAAACTGTAATGCAATGGGACACATCCTCCTACTGATATGAGGCACTATTCCTCCATTGACACCAACAATGAGGCACCATTCCTTCCACTGACGCCAATACCTAATTTTACAGATGACAAAATTGTACAATACTTTGCTTATGGGCTGCAGTCAGTGTGCAGTTAAAGTGGTTGTAAACTCTTACATAAACCCAGTGCAGTGACTGGCCTCAGGTGATACACAGAGACTAAACAAATCTTCCTACATAACTTGTACCCAGGGGCGGACTGACCATTTGGAAACTTGGGCACTGCCCGAGGGCCCGGGGTCAGTAGGGGGCCCCACAGGGGCGGACTGACAACTCATGGGGCCCCCGGGCAATAGGGGATCATGGGGCCCCTGTGTCTTTGCCCAAACTCAAAAAAGCCTATAAAAAAGGTACCAGAGGCATCTCATGGGGCCCCCTACTGACCCCAGGCCCTCGGGCAGTGCACGAGTTTACAAATGGTCAGTCCGCCCCTGGGGCCCCATGGGATGCCCCTGGTACCTTTTTCATAGGCTTTTTTGAGTTTGGGCAAGGACACAGGGGCCCCATGATCCCCTATTGCCCGGGGGCCCCATGAGTTGTCAGTCCGCCCCTGGTTGTACCTGTTTATCTGTTGTATTCTCTTCCCTACATCCATTCAAAGTGCTGAAATTTTTTAAAGTTGTCTGAGAGTTCAGATAAAAGGGGGTGCTGAGATTATACCCTGCAGAGCTCAGTGAAGGGAGTTCTGAAAGCTGATTGGAGGGAAGGGACACACTCCTATTCACTTCTCACAGGAACAGAGCTGAGACTATCAATCTGTTGGAGGTCCCTCCCCTGTCACCATTTTTCTCTTGGTGTCAAGAAAACACATCAGAAGTGACTCATTCTGATAGCAGAGTAATGAAGCAGCAGTCAGAGATGAAACTTAGTGCTCTTAGTTGAGACAAGTACACACCATAGAGGGATATGTTTTGTTCATATTTCATGTCTGAGGTTTACAACCACTTTAAGCAAAACTGTTAGCAGGAAAAGAAATAATCTTTCTTGGCAGAATAGATAGACAAAATGTCTTCTGCTAAAAACCTTTACTTTCTAGTATTTTTTATTAAGTTTAGTGATTTAAATAAATAGACTCAAATAAAGTCATTGTCATTGCTGATCTACCCTTCCTCTCCACTGGCAAATTTACATATCTCTACAAACGCTCTATTCAATTTCCATCAAACGTGGATTCCAGAGAAGGCAAGCTGATTACATCTTGAAGAGGAATATATTTGTTTGAATATGCCCTTGAAATTCTATTCAAAACTGCATGCTGATCATTGCTTCAAATTATATATTTTCTTTACTATGGCACATATTGTGTTCATGGCAAAGAACATTCTTTATATTCTGGGACACAACTTTCTTTGCTCATGTGCATTTCTTTTCTATTTTTATTCCTCAAATGCATCTCCCATCAACAGTTTAAAAATAGTTCATTATCCCCAAGAATTCCAACATGTTCAATCACTCGTTTTCGATGGCCAAACGAATATCGCTGCAGGCTCACTGATGGTTTGAAGATTGCACAATCGTTCTTTCGACATTATTATTATTATTATACAGTATTTATAAAGCGCCAATAGTTCACTCAGCGCTGTACATTACAATGGGGGACAGAACAAGAACAATACAATACAATGCAAAACACGAGGGATTCGAGGGCCCTGCTCTTTCGAGCTTACAATCTAGGAGGGAGGGGATAGTGGCACAGGAGGAGATAGCTGTGGGGGATGGAGTGGTAGGAAGAGTGGAGGAGGTCGGCAAGTTAGCAGGGGGTGGGGTAGGCTTCCCTGAAGAGGTGTGTTTTCAGGGTGCGCCTAAAGGAGAGGAGAGTAGGTGATAATCTGATGGGATGGGGCAGGGAGTTCCAGAGGATGGGTGACACTCTGGAGAAGTCCTGGAGGCGGGCATGGGGGAGGAGGAGACCAGGGAATTAGAGAGAAGGAGGTCTTGTGAGGAGCGGAGTGTGCGTGTTGGGTGGTACTTGGATATTAGGTCAGTGATGTAGTACGGGGCAGTATGGTGGACAGCTTTGTACGTCAGTGTTAGGATTTTGAATTTGATCCGTTGCGCAATCGGAAGCCAGTGGAGGGATTGGCAGAGGGGGGTGGCGGAAACGGAGCAGTTGGAAAGGTGAATGAGTCTGGTGAATGATTTTTCATTCAGTTTTCGACACATGTATGGCTGGCTTTAACGTATATGTAAACCCTAACAATGTCTGCTCCCTTTTGATCTGTTAAATATACCATTGAAAACTTTCTGTCTTTTTTCGACAGATAAGAGCAATAAAACACCTGTTGACCCTGTCAGAAATCTGATAGCGTCTCTCAGTTCACTTCTGTGGGCAACATAACACTTCTCCACTAATGTATCTGCAGCATATTTATAGGTGTGTGCAGCCTATTGCTTTGGAAGGTCTATGTGGACCATGGCTTTTGCTGTAGGATGTGACTAAGAAAATATCAGGACAGACCGACTAGAACTTCTGAACTTTATTTGAGGTTAATAAGAGGCACTTTAAATGATGACAGGTGTGTACTGACTCATATTTAACTTGATTTTGAGAGTGATTGCTTAATTCTGAACACAGCTACATCCCCATTAATAAGAGGGTGTGCACACTTATGCAACCAAATAATTTTTTTACATCACAGAAACCTGACATTTTAACAGGGGTGTGTAGACTTTGTATATCCTATATATATATATATATATATATACATATACACACACACAAATACACATATACATACTGTACATATATAAGTACACTTCTCTAATAAATTGAAGGAACACTTTTTAATCAGAGTATAGCGTCAAGTCAATAAAACTCCTGGGATATTGATCTGGTCAGTTAAGTAGCAGAGGGGGTTGTTAATCAGTTTCAGCTGCTTTGGTGTTAATGATATTATTAACAGGTGCACTAGATGGGCAACAATGAGATGACCCCCAAACCAGGAGTGGTTTTACAAGTGGAGGCCACTGACATTTTTTTCTCTACTCACCTTTTCTGACTGTTTTTCACTAGTTTTGCATTTGGCTAGGGTCAGTAGCCATAGAAGGTTCTTAACCCATCAGCAGGACCGATATCTGCTCCTTTGTGCAAGGAGGAACAGGATGAGCACTGCCAGAGCCCTACAAAATGACCTCCAGCAGGCTACTGGTGTGAA